CTTAATCCAAACTAAGATTCAATCACTGTACGGAAACGTCTGGGCGCGCGTGCAATGGTATGCACCTTGTAGCAATGACTGGGTATCCCGGTAACTTTACGATAGGCTGTCAATTCAAGCTCGTATATCTTCCAAACATAACTTTCCCTAAATTGCCATTCTGCTTACTGAAACTTCTGTTCTTTTAAAAGCTATCTTATTTGCATTTACTATTCGTATTTAGCTTCTTGGATTTCGGTTGGAAAAGAGTTGCCATTAATCTTGGCCGTCAAAGAACCCAGAGGTTATGTTAAAGAAAAGACGCGTGAGCCCGTCACAATATATTAAAAAGATATAAATAATAGACGTAGTCATAATTATTAAGATGCTTTTAGTATGCCTGTTTTCTAAATATCTAAAAAACAATCTTTCAGTAGCATAAAAAATTGTTTTTATCAATTAAGCTATCAAAAATGTCGTTCACGATAGCAAAATATTAATTAAAAAACTTTTACTTAAAAAAAAATTATAATTTTCAAAACTATTTTGAAGGGATACTATAAAATTTTTTCTACATTATAATTTTCTTTTTAAGGATAAAATTGTTTATTTTTTCAGTTTTTTTAGTAATAAATATATATAGTCATCAGACATCTTTAAATTCGTGCGTTAGAGTTTTGAGTAGGCCTCAAAAAGTAGTATCAATAGAAAACTTCTAGCTTACGTGATAAACAGATAAATACTGAAAATGTATTACTAATAACTTCTATATAATATAATCAGAAAAATATTTTAAATAAAATATCTTCAGATCCATATATTAGCTTAATATTTTATATTACAAAATCATAATACAAGTAATTTAATTTTCTTATAGTTACATATTTATTGTGTTGATTCCAGGAAATCTTTGAAGAACAAATATTTTGGAAGCAATAAATAATACAAAACACATTCATAAGTCGAATAAAAAATACCTTATAATGTACAATAAAGTTTTTAAAATGATATTTTCTGTCTGACCAAAGCGATAAACTTATAAACAGCAGAAATATATTCAATACAAAAAAATGTAATCCGAAACGTTTTTAATGATTGCAGAAATTTTCAGTTTAATAAAGGTTTTTTGTGTGTTTTACATTCGAGTCAAACATTGTATAGTATTTCACCAAAAAGAATCCCTTTTTGAGTTAACGTAGTAATATTTCATAATGAAGCATAAATACAACAAACTTCCGAAATTTCATAATTTTATTATATCTGTATACTTTAGAAATGTTTGATTTCATTTTAATAGTTTAAAATTTTCTTGGACACTTTTAATATTTTTATTAAATTTATATTTCAAAGGTTAGGCCCTCAATACAGAATTAGCATTATTTATAAATATTAAGCGAAAAAAAAATAGTTTCATTTGGGAAAATAAAATCAATTTAATTTTTTCTATTAAAACATTTTTTATGTTTATAACAGAATATAAAACACTATCTTAAGACATTTAAATTAAACCATATTTTTTAACACACACACACTTTAATAACTCATCTAAGTAAAATCATTCCTATTGAAATTTATCATGAAGTAATAAAAAATCGTTTGAACAGAAATATTTTATCAAAATTATAGAATATTTAGCAATGTGTTCGATTCTTAAGTATTCATTGTATTTAATTCAATAAAAAATCAAGTATAAAAGGTGTAGCTATTAAATAACAAGACTAATGCTATAAAAATTTATTTTTATTTCATTAAAATTTACTATTTATCGCCTTCCATATCCCTATAATCCTCTATCCCTATAACTCTCTATGCGAATCTTCCAATTGTTCAAAATAGTGCTGGAAGTCTTTTTGTGTGAAATCCTTCAAGAAGCATGCCGCTTAGAAGTCACATGGCTGTATATCCAGCAAATGAAAAAGAATGTAATACTGAAATGCTGTACTTGGGTAAAATTCTCTTGACAAACAAAGCGAAATTAGTTGGCACGTTGCATTGGTGAAGAACCCATGACTTGTGCGTCAACAATACTGTTCGTTTCTTCTTTATTCTTTCCTGGAGTTCAGCAAAAAAAGTGAAGATAGAGATATTAATTAATAGTTTGACGTTCAGAAACCCAATCAAGGTACACGATTCTTTGAATATCGAAAAAAGAATCATCATTACTTGAAATTTTGGATTAGCTCATTCGAAATTTTTTGGCTGTCTGTGGATGGGCTCCGTCAGTGCATAGATTGAAGCTTCGTTTCAGGATCATAAGTGAAAAAACTACGATTCCTCATACATTACTTTATTCTTTTCATTAATTTGAATCATTTTCAATGGCAATAAAAGTGTCAGTGTAGACCTGTTTCCAAATTCCTCGTGTTCAAATGTGAGAATTATGTTTGTCAGACTTTTTGCATGCCAAAATTGTTAAATAAGAATTTCCTCACGTAATCTGCCTCAATTCGTTTTGTCTCAGTAATCGCACAAGTACGTAACTGATGGTCAGATAGAGCCAGATTACCGATTTTTCCCATATTTTCATCCGTTTTTGACGTGGAAGGGCGTTTCGAGAGTGAATACTCTTTTACGTCTTTTCGACCATTTTGAAAATTTTTAAACCACTCAAAAACAAGTGTACGAGATAAACCTGTGTTTCCATACACTTATTTCTATAAATTATGTTTCGGTAGTGGTTTTTCCAAGTTTCATGTGAAATTTTACAATTCGTTGACCTATCGCTGTAATCATTTTTCTAGCGAAATGAAAAAAGAGCTCTTATGTCAATGAAGAGTACACCTGTAAGGATTTGCTAACAGAAGCGAGAAGTACTGCATTTGAAAGACAAAGCTTCAGGCTAAATATCTGTTGGTCGCTGGCGTTCAGGGCATGCGTATTTCATCTGTAATAACATCATTCTCGTTATTTAACAGCCACACATTGTATATACACGTAAAGATTAAATTGTGTGTGTGTGTGTGTGTGTGTGTGTGTTGTGTGTGTGTGTGTGTGTGTGTGTGTGTGTGTGTGTGTGTGTGTGTGTGTGTGTGTGTGTGTGTGTGTGTGTGTGTGTGTGTGTGTGTGTGTGTGTGTGTGTGTGTGTGTGTGTGTGTGTGTGTGTGTGTGTGTGTGTGTGTGTGTGTGTGTGTGTGTGTGTGTGTGTGTGTGTGTGTGTGTGTGTGTGTGTGTGTGTGTGTGTGTGTGTGTGTGTGTGTGTGTGTGTGTGTGTGTGTGTGTGTGTGTGTGTGTGTGTGTGTGTGTGTGTGTGTGTGTGTGTGTGTGTGTGTGTGTGCTATATAAACACGCGTGGACAAAAGCCCAAAATGGGGAATGATTTACATGTTTCAAAAATAAAAAGTAAGAATAAAAAAAATTAGTCATTTAATCATCATTATTGGAATTTTCAACTAGATATCACAGAAAAGTTGTGCATATATTCTTTCTAAAAAACATTTAAGGTGAAAAAAGGGGATGTTTATATTTTGAGGCAAGCAGTTTTTTGAGTAAATATCTAGAGCAGTTAAAAAATTTATTTTTTTTAAAAGAAAAAGGCTATTTTTGTTTTTATGATAAAAAAAGCAAATAATATATTTTTTATTTACTTCTCCAAAATATCTTAAATTTATTACCATATAATACTCTATAATTTTATGTGTTTTAATTAAGAAACATATCCTCAAAGTATGCAAAATGTTTTCACGAAGCTTATGAAGTTCATTTCGTAGTTTTTCCTCGACATTATTAAATCTCAGCAAAGAATTGAAGCATGTTTATTTAATAAAAATAACCTAACTCAATTTATTTGAAGAACACTTAAACTGAAAATATTTTAATAAAATACACATTTTTCACTCCAATTCATGCTTTTATGAACCAATTTAATTTAACAGTAATGTTTTTGTTAGATGAACATTGCAAAAGCTTTTGATATTAAAAAATAATCATGACTTGTTATTAAGCATTAAATAAAGGCGTTTTTTCTCGTATTTTTACTTAGTTTTTTGTAATATTTGCTTAGTTTCTGAATTTTTAAGCAAAATCAAAAATATAAGTTTTTGTTTTATTTTATTTGAGATTTGATAAAACAAATAAATTGTTTTAAGTTTTGTTAATAATTTTTATGAAGATTTGGAGAATTTAAAATTTGGAAATAATAGCCTTGTAGTAGATAATCAATTTCTGGAATAAATCATTGCCTTAAAAATACTACTAATACTAATTACCTATGACTGCTCAGTCAAAAATATTGTAGAATCCTTAGTAACTTTTAAGAATATTCATAGATTGTGCGAATTTTTCAATGGCACGAAATTTTAAAAAAAATTCCGTCGTTTTTCAATTCCTACTATTAGAGTTCTTTTTCTTACCTTATATATATATAGGCTTAAGTATTAGGCTTAACTTTTCAACTTGGGTTTTTTTTTCCTATTATGTCAAAAGTTTCTGCTGTACGGGGAAGGTGGATCCATAAAGCATTGATAACCCTAATTCGCTGACCTAATTCAGCGAAAGCTTTAGAAATCATAATAGGTCTCCAGTTTAGTCCAAAGACTTTTTTTGTATCTACATTTGTTGTGTTTGGTGAATTCCAATTTGTTCCTGCTTTAGCACTGTAGGTTCTAGTACTTCTTCACTTTTATTTTATGTTACTATATATATATATATATATATATATATATATATATATATATATATAATCTCATTTTGTCCTTCATTGCGTGATTTTCCTACTGTCTATGTGTTTTTCGAATGTGATTGTTGGATGTTTATCTCTGGTTTGTAGAGAATAAAACTATATATATATATATATATATATATATACCTTGTTCAAATTTTCAATCGTTAGTAAAATACTTTCTATTCATTTATTCAGGTTTCAATACATTTTTTAAAAACTTGTAGTGGATGACACTTGATCACTTGATGTTAATACAGTTTTTTCAAATATTAATTCATTCATTAAATAGAAAAATTAATAAATAGAAACAAACAAAAATACTAGTCCAACAGCATGTACAGAAGAGAAAATCGCTCGTTGTGTCCCTGTAGCTCAATGGATAGAGCTTTGGACTCTATCCGCTAGTCGTGGATTCGAATCCCACCTGGGATGACCTAATTTCTGAGAAAGTGATTTCTTTTTACTATACTACTTTACTGGAATAATTAAATTTAATTTCTTAATTAATAGTAACAAACAAAAATAACAGCCCAACGTCCTAAATAGAAAGAAAATGGAAAATCGCTTTGTGTTTTGCACTTAATAGTGTGTTTCTATCATATGTAAATACATATTTATATTAATTGTAATTATTTAATAAAAAGTAACTAAAATATGTATTTTCTTTTTGACCTAAGTAGGGATTGACTTATTTTTTTTAATATTACTTTTCTACTTCAACATATTCACAATGGTAAAAATAAAATGTAAGTTTCAACATCTTTAAATCTCAATTTAGAAGTACTGTATTTCTAAAAGGAAACTTAACTGCATAAAACACCCTTTGAGAAGAAGCATATAAAGAAAAATTTGAAAAAACCCAGTTAACTTCAGTTCTTTTCAAAAGAACAAATACTTAAATATAAAATTAGAATTAAAAAATTAAAGCATAAAAAATAAGAAAATTTCTTATTTTTATATTTGTTGTTTCCATATCCCTTTTACATCTCTAGAATACTTTAGTGTTTTTACCCTACGCACAACAATACTAAAAGCTTTAAATGAAAATTTAAGTAGTTTCCTTTTTCTAGGGAAAATAGTTATAAAATAAACACAGCATATTTATATTCCATTGCATAAAAATAAAGAAAAATTCAATCAGCCATATTTCTTGACACTTAAAAAACTCCAAGAGATTAGAAAACTTTTTTTAAAAATGTTAGATCTTTTATTTTTATTTCAGCAATAAATATAAAAAGCAACCAATAATTCTGAAAACAAAAGTCCATTGAGAATTCTTAAGATTTTAATTCGAAATATTCGTATAACTGAATATTTTATGAAGAGCGCCGAAGAAAAGTCCACTGCAATGTATACAAATTTGACTTATTTAGAGGAACATTCAGTTTTAGTGCAGCGATTTAAATAAGAAAAATGTGTGAAAAAGCTAGTCGAAAAAAGATTAGAGTGCAGTAAAAAAAGAGAATAGCAAAAAATCTCGTATGTTCTGAAGAACATTTGTTAACTCAAATTGTGTTTTGTAACATTTTGTTTTCAACATCTAGGGTCTTTAGAAAAAAAAATTTTCAGTTATGAAGATCTTACAAATAAATTCTGATAACAACATTGCCGCGTAGTTTGATACTTAGAGAAAATATATATATCCTATTGCATATATTAAACTATCTTAAGATTGGATTTCTCTGATTATGTTATTTCCTTTTCTGCTATAAAGTTAAAATATTATTAAAAGAACCGTGGTTTTGAATGTGAATATAAATAAATAATTTATTTGATACTTAGAGTCACTTGAATTAGTATATCCATATATATTCTCTTTTTATGAAAAATACTTCTATAATAATAATATCTTGCTTATATTATATATATATATATATATATATATATATATATATATATATACAACAGACTTTAGTACGGGCCTGAACTAGGATTTTTGAAATACATAATTTGGAATGGATTTATTTATAGTTTACGAAACTCGTGCAAAATATGTAAAAAAATTTATATATATATATATATATATATATATATATATAAAACTTTAATGGGCCTGAACTAGGATTTTTGAAATACATAATTTAAAAGGTTTATTTATATTTAGTCTCGTGCAAAAAAGTGTAAATAATTTATATATATATATATATATATATATATATATATAAAGACTTTTTTGGGCCTGAACTAGGATTTTTTAAATATAAAAATTTTGGAGTGGATTTATTTATGTGTTAAATTTGTGCAAAATAGTGAAATAATTTATATATATATATATATATATATATATATATATATATATATACAAAACTTTGTACAGGGGCCTGAACTAGGATTTTTTTAAATACATAATTTGGGAAATGGATTTATTTATAGTGTTACGAATCTCGTGCAAAATAGTGTAAATAATTTATATATATATATATATATATATATATATATATATATATATATATATATATATATATATATATATATATATATATATACAGACTTTGTACAGGGCCTGAACTAGGATTTTTGAAATACATAATTTGGAAGTGGATTTATTTATAGTGTTACGAATCTCGTGCAAAATAGTGTAAATAATTTATATATATATATATATATATATATATATATATACAAGACTTTTGTACAGGGCCTGAACTAGGATTTTTGAAATACATAATTTGGAAGTGGATTTATTTATAGTGTTACGAATCTCGTGCAAAATAGTGTAAATAATTTGTATTTGGGTGTGTAATGCCTTTATCTTACTCTAAATTAGATTCAATTTTGTAGTATTCACAAGCAACGCCGTCCCTTATGTTATAAGGGTGATTCAATGGGAACTTGGCGAAATCTTGGCGATAGAGCCAAGTTGGCGTCATTTTTGGCAAACAAGTTGGCGACTTTGGCGACTTGTTGATCTGCAGATTCGGGACCCTCTGGATTTTTCTAGAAATTAGTAGAGAAATACACTAATTTCAAGATCTATGACGCAAGCGGGTCCTTCTCGAATTATCCGTGAGGGATATAAATAGAGAGATGTTCACCGAAAGTCAGTCAGTCTGGTTTTGACTAGCGATCAGTTTGCATTGCTCTGATTGTTGAATCGATTAGTGATTACTTCGGCTGTTGAATGAGCAATCGCTTGTGAATAATCTTTTATATACATGTATTTTAGGCACCGATAATTGTGTCTGAGTGCTGCTGGAGGTAAGAAGACCTTCTAAGATTTATAGTGCGAATATTTCTGCTGAATCATGTATTTAAAGGATTGGATTTTCGACAATAAATTTTCATCGCTCTTAAAGAACTGTCTTGTTCTTTGCGACTGATTTGCATAAAACCCTCGAACCTCGGATCTACGTAACAATATTTTAATGCATCAGATATAGAGGAATTTTAACAAAAAATATCGTCTATTATTTCAGTTGATAGGAACTATGAATATAAGGAGGAATTTTTCAAACATCCTGGTTCAGGCTCTCTATAGGCAAAATTATTATTATTATAAAATCATTTTTCATAAAAGGACAAATTTTTGAAAATATGCCATTCTTTTCTCATTTTTGCCAAAAATTGCATTTAAATAAATTTATTGTAATAATATTCATAAACAATTTTATATTGATATTCTAATTCAGATGCTCCTAAATATAAAAAAAAAAATATCTATACGCTCTTTCAAAATCATGGTTCTGAACATACCTTAAAAAGGATACCTTACGAACTCGGTACCCCAAAAATTAAACGAACTATTGTTGTTCTCTTTTAATATTTATTGTATTCTTTGCATTATTATCTTTCGAATGATATGATCACTTTTGCATGACTAAAGTTAGAAGTTGGATAATTAAAAATGTAAACTAACAAATTAGGCAATTTGGCCACGCCCCCCTTTTATAAAAAAAAAGCTAAAAAAAGTGTTTTCTATTCAAAAGTCCATTTTAAAAAGAGAAATAATAACTTTAATAAAGGTGTAATTTATAGCAGGATATTACCGAGGCATTACAATAATGTAATTGTTTTTCTTTGTGTAATGTGTGCACATTAAATTTTTGAATTAAGGCATTTTGTATTAATAATTTCATAATTTTAGTTCTTATTTCTCATATGTGTTCCATACAAATACAATACTTCAATATTATGTGAAGAAAAAACTGAAATTTCTTACATGACAGAAAAAAAAATTTTAAAACCAAAATTTTCTTTATGTAGGATTGAAGGGCTTATTTAAAATTTATCGTTATATAAAATTTTTAATGGATTTAAGTTTACGTGAATTGCAATTATTTTCAGGATTAAAAATAAGTCTTAAAGTGGTTTTTTATTTGTGTTTTTCCGAACGTTTATTTTTTTCAGAATTTAAAATGTTAAAGTGATTTTCTTAATTTGTGTTTTTATACATTTTCTATTTCAGTTTTCAAAAATTTTAAAATCTAAGAATATTAAAAACTTTCGTTGAATTTTTAGCATATTTTATTTTTTTTCTTCTAAACAATAAAAATTTTTAAATTGTAATAAATAAAAATCCCTATAAATTGTTTAGAAATCTTTATGAAATACAAAATAGATTTCATAAAAAATTAAAATTTTAAAGAAAAAATTTTTAAAATTTTCCAAATTTTCTTCAAAAGTAGATTGATTTTAAAAGAGTAGTGTAATAGATTACCATGGTTCAAATTTCCGTCCCATAAACCTTTGTTTGAATAGAAATATTATATCAAATACTAAAAAAATGAAAAATAATGAAATAAAGAAAATAAAAAAATTTCAAAGGTATAATTCTACTTAAACATATAATATGATTAAAAAGTATATGGACAAATAAGTTAAATGAAATAAACAAGTTTTAAATTTTTTAAAAGAACATGCATTAAATAGATAGAATTTACTAAATGCATTATAATATGATTACAGAAGTATATGAACAAATGCTTATTACACAAGGGTTTATATAATTATAACAAATGCATATAATTGATTTACAGAATGTATATGACAAATGCATTATATGATTACAGAAGTATATAAACAAATGATGCTTATTGCAACAATATCGCTCTATGGGAAAAACTTCTGTTTTAATAATTAAAATAGATGCAAAAATATACTTTCAATCTCAGCTCCTGTACGAAATACAAAAATTATTTTAGAGTTCTTCCAAATTTAATATATGTAAGTAATAATTATAATATTAAAGGAAAGGAGGTTATTACGGAATAGTCGGGAAATATGAAATACCGAGATTTTAGCTCTGTTTGTTAGAAGCTAACTCGTGTGGAACAGTACAAAAACGCTTTCTCATGATGCACTGCAGAGTGAGTTAAATGCATCTTATTGTTGTGACATCTCTCGCGTTCTTCTTCTAACATAACTCCTACGTTCTTTGACGGCCACGATTAATGGCAAAACTTTTCCAACCCAAATCCAAGAAGTAAAAACGA